CCCCTCCGCCGCCGCGAAAGCGACGGAGGACGCGAAGCGCGCGAAACTCGAGGCTGAAGAAGCGCTCGAGCGCGCGGTCGCGGAGGCGAAGCGGCTCGCGGCGGAGGACGCCGCGCGCGCGGCGGAGAAAGCCGCGGAGATGGCCGTCGCGGACGTCGAGGACGATCTCCGAGTCGAGATGGAGCGTCGACTCGCGGAGACGACGCGGGAGATCGAACAGCGAGCGACCGCGGCGACGATCGAGGCGCAGGAGGAGGCGGACTACGTCCGCGCGCTTCTGGACGAGGCCAACGAGAAACTCAGCGCGCTCGCGGCAGATGCCGCGAAGAACGCGGAGAACGCGCGCGCGCTCTCCGACGACGAGAAGACGCAGGCGCGTTCTGTCTCACACTGGTCCCCATACGACCGCGTTCGCGTGGTGAACGCCGTTTCTTAAGGACTTTACTTCCCGGTGCATCTATCCGCCCAGCCCTCGGTTTCAACGCCCGCCCTCGACGCCTTTCAACTCCGCTTCTGACGCCTTCGAACTTCACCCCGACGTTCAAAAATCGTATGGACCCTCGGCCCTCAGTTGAAGGAGGCCAAGGCGCAGCTCGACGAGACGAAGCGAACGATGGAGACGGCGCTGTCCGAGGCGCGCGCGAGCGCGGACGCGGTCGTCGTCGCGGTCAAGGCGGAGCTCGAGGACGCGCGGAAGGCGGAGACGGAGGCGCGCGCGCAGGCGAGCGCGGCGACGAAGCTCGCAGCCGCCGCCGCGGAGGAGAGTAAGCGACTCACCGTCTCGCTGGAAAAGAAAATGTCCGAGGTCATCGCGACCGCGGATCAGCGCGTGGCGACGGAGCGGACGCGCGCGGAGGCGGCGGAGACGCGCGCGGCGTCGCTCGAGGAGAGGATCCGCGCGATGGAGGCGAAGCTCGCGGCCGCGGACGACGAGGCGGTGGCGGCGATAGGCGAGCTGCGAACGACGGCGACGTCGGGAGAGGATGAGATTTACGAACTCCAGGCGGATCTCGAGGAGACGCAGGCGAAGCTCGCGGCCGCGGAGGAGAACGCCGCGCTCGCGGCGGTGGAAGCGCGCGAGATGGCGGACGCGCTGCAGGCGGCGGAGGCGCAGGTGGAGGCCGCGGCCGCGGCGTCGAGCGCGGCGAACGACGTCGTGAAGGTGCAGACGAAGCTCAACGCGAGAATCGCGGCGCTCGAGGAGGAGGTTGCCGCGGCGGCGAAGCGCGCGAAAGAAGCCGAGGCGCGCGCGGACGCGCTCGCCGCGGACGTCGCGAGGGAGATCGACGACGCCGCGGGCGTGGGCGCGGGCGCGGAGAAGAAGGCGAAGAAGGCGACGACGCGGAAGAAGAAGGCGAAAGCCGCGGCGGCGGCGAAGAACGCGGCGCCCGCGGCGGCGGCGGCGGGCGGCGCGCTTCCCGCGTTGTCGAAGATGAAGAAAGCGGAGCTCGCGTCGGAGCTCGCGGGGATGGGATTATCCACCGAAGGCGTCGTCGTCGAGCTGCGTCAGCGCTTGCGAGAGGCGCGCGACGCGGCGAAGTGACGGACGACCGCGGCGCTCGGGGGTAAGGACGACGGACGAAAACATTTTTTTTTTAACCTTCATCTCAGAGAAAGAATACGATTTTCGAAACGTCGCGTCGCGTCACGTCACGTCGTCCCCTTGCCGCGCCTCCTGTCCCAAAACAATCCCACGACGGACGTGTGCGAGTGCAGATACGACTGCCTCCCCGCGCGCGCCGGGCCCAGCTCGCCCGCGGTGTACCCGCCGCCGACGGGAACGCCCTTCGCGCGTTCTCGGAAATCCGCGGCGTGGAGCCGATCGCCGTTGACGCACGTGTACATCACCGCGCCCGCGTATTTGACCCTGTGGGGTAGTCATCGATCGCGATTGGTCCGCGTGAGTGAATCTCGCGATGCGATTGGACAAAATAGGGTGACGTGGCGGATCGTGTGGTCGAGAGAGACGCCCGCGGGAACGCACCTGGCGCCGACGGGCGCGCCGAAACGCGTGCCGACGTTTTGCTCCGCGACGCCCTCGCCGAACGACTTCATGAGCGCGCACGCGCGCTGTTTCCCCCACGCGGTGTCCCTGACGTGGAGACGCACGGGCGCTCCCTCTTCCAGGCGATGCCGGCCGATGTACACGCTCCCGGTCTCGTTGTTCGCGCTCTGTATGGACCTGAACACGTACCCGTCGCCGCCGGATTGATACGCGCGCTCCGCCTCCGCCGTCGCCGCCGCCGCGTCTTTCGCGTCCTTCTCCTCTTTCGCCGCCTTTTTCCGCGCCTCTCTCTCGGCGGCTTTGGCGGCGTCCGTCGCGCCACCTTCCTCCTGTTCCTCTTTCTCCTCTTCCGCCTCCACGTCGGCGTCGTCGTCGTCGTCGTCCACGACTCTCCCGCGCAATTTCGCCGAGCCGTCGCCGTCGCCGCCTTTCCCCCTCGCCGCGAGCCGCCCGCGCGGAGACACGTCGACCACCACGACGTTGCCCCACGGGCTCTTGAACTCGTCGCGGCGCGCGTCGTCGCGCCGTGACGCCCCCGCGCGCGTCCAAGCCCCGGCGCCGCCGCGCGTCGTCGTCTCGGGCGGCTCGCCGACGCCGAGCATGACGGGCAAGCCGCCCGGGACGCCGCCGTCTGAGGGTAATTGTCCATACAAAGCGACGTTGGGGTGGCGTTCGAAGGCGTCAGAAGCGGAGTCGCGAGGCGTCGCGGCGCGTCGGTAGGTATCGAAAGCAGCGAGGGACAGGCGGGCGGAGAGAAACAAACGAAACGCCGGGAGAGAAAGTCCTTCAGGAATGAAGTTCACAACGCGAACGCGGTCGTATGGAAACCAGCGCGAGGAGAACTTACCTAAAATCGCGGGGAGCACTTCCCCGGCGGGGGACCCGTCGAGCTCGAGGACGTGCCCGTCGATGCTCCTCGTGAGCGTCATCTCCGGTCCGACGGGACGGCACGCGTGCATGCTGCGCGCGTCGAGCCCGAACGGGCCGCGGAGAAGGACGCCGACGAGGACCGCGGTGTCGTCGTCGTCGTCGGACGCGGCGGGGAGGGGCTTCGTCGTCTTCTTTCTCGTCCTCCGCGCTTCCGCCTCGTCAGCCTCGTCAGCCTCTTCTTCTTCTTCTTCTTCTTCAATTTCTTCTTCGTCGCAGCTGTACAGCACGTCCTCGCCCAGGAACAACGCCCCCCCCGGCGTGACCGCGCCGCCGACGACGACGCTCTTCGGGATCGCGCTGTGAAGTCGCTGCGTCAGGTCGTCGATCTCCACGAATTCGGGGTCGAACATCGCGAGCGCGGCGACGGCGTCCCCGACGTCCTCCGCCGCGTCGTCGCCGTCGCCGTCGCCGTCGCCGCCTCCGCCTCCGTCCCGCATCATCGCCGCCCACTGCTTCGGCGTGATCTGCGGCGGCAGCGACGCGTCCCTGGTCTTGAACGGCATCGCCTCCGTCCCGGGGAGACGCGCGGCGACGATCGAGACGCACGGGCCGTCCATCACCTGCCCGCCGCCGCCGAAGCATCCGCGCACGACGCCGCCGAATAACGCCGGCTTCGCGGCCGTTTCATCATCGCGTTTTCCTCCTCCTCCTCCTCCTCCTCCGCCTCCTCTCTTCGACCCTCTCGACGTCTCCGAGAAGCACTCCAGGACGTATCTCGGCGCGAGCGCGACGTCGTCGTAATCCGCGCTGACGAGCAGCTGCACGAACGTCGGTACCGTCCTCGCGCCGAGCGCGCGCTTCGCCTCCGCGACCGCCTCGACGATCGCGGTGGACAGCGTCGCGTTGTTCGAGAGCCCGCTGCCGAAGCGCATGACGTCGTCAAGGTCGTCGTCGACGGCGGCGGCGGCGGCGGCGGAGGAGGAGGAGGACGTCGCGCGCGGATCCCCGCCGACCGCGCTCGTCGTGGTCCAGCCGGCGCCTCTCAGATCGAGCGCGCGACGCGTCGTCGTCGCTCGCGCGGTCGTCCACGGCGCGAGGTACGCGGCGCGCGCGGCCGCGCTCGCGGCGCGGCGCATCGCGCGACGCGAGACGCGGGCGGCGCGCGGAACGAGCGACCGCGACGCTGAGCGGCCTGGCGCGGACGAGTGCGCGGGGATGAGATCAGATATTTGTGATGAATGGCACGCTCATCTTCTCTCACACAGCTGGCAAAGGTGGGTACGGTCCCGCCGCCGAGGCGTCCCCGCTCGCTCTCTCTCGTTTAGAACTTGAACGTCGTGCTCCCGTCCTCCGCGGTGGACATGTCCACGCCCAGCAGGTCGTCGTTCTGCGCGTCGAGCATGCAGTCCTCGATCTCGTCCACGTCGCCGTCCATCTGAAGAGGGGGGCGGGGTCGCGGCGGGTGAGCGATGAGGGGAAAAAAAAGGCCGTATCCGATCGATCGAGGAAATAACAACCGCCCGAAGGCATCGATCGTCCGCGGCGTCGCGGCGTCCGATCGACCCGCGCGGCGACCGAACGACGCGTGACGGGATTCGAGACGACGACGCTTCGCGCAGCTCCGCGACGCACCACCGCCTCCATGCAGTTCTCGAGCACGCGCTCCGCCGCGATCGCGCGCAGCTTGGCCGCCCAAAACTCGTCGCCCTCGCCCTTCTTTCGATCCAGAAGATCGTCCACGACGCCTCTCTTCGCGGTCGGGTCTTCGAGCTCGAGCAAGCACGCGTCGAGCTTGGACTCGTCGCCCTCGGCCATAGCCTCCATGCACGCCTCCATGACTCTCTCCGCGGTCATCTCGCGCGTCTTCTGCTCCCAGTCCACGTCCTTCTTGGAGGAGGACGACGCGGCCTCGTCGCCGCCCGCGGCGTCGCATCGAACGCCACCAGATCGCCTCCTCGTCGTCGTCGCGCGCGATCGGACGACGGCGGCGGGCGCGGAGGAGGAGGGAGCGCGCGCGACCGCGGCGGCGCGATCGCGGCGGCGGATCGCGAGCGGCGCGGACGCGAGGGCGTGCGCGAGGGCGAAGGCGGGCATCGTGCGCGGCGCGTCTCGTTGTGCGCGTCGCGAGCGGCGAATCGCCGTCGTCCGCGTCATGCGGGGTGGGAGAAAATCTTCAGGCCGCTGCGATGATTTGTTTGGTCTCCGTGCGGACGATTTTCACCCACCCCGTAGGTTCAACATTTGATCGCGTGCCCTTTCAACTGACCGATGTTTTTACCTTGATTCCTCCTTCGAAACACTCAGGAACGAAAGCCGCGCAGCTCGCTCGGTCCTCCACGAGATCAGTCGCGCGCGCGAGCGGGAAGGAGGCCCTCGCCGCCTTCGCCGCACCCCGACCGACGATGTCGCGCGCGTCGACGCCGTCCCTCGCCGCCGCCGCGGCGTCCTCGCCGTCGCCCTCGTCGCCGTCGCCCTCGTCGCGAGGAGGCGGCGACCACCGCGGCAGTCATCATCACCACCCGCCGCGACGCTTCGCGACGACGCCGCTGACGGGCGTGCGCGACCTCGTGCGCGAGGGGAAGACGATATGGCTCCTGGACCAGTTCGGGGTCCTGCACGACGGCAAGACGGCGTACCCCGCGGCGATACACGCGACGAAGCGGCTGTACGACGCCGGCGCGAAGCTCTACGTGATCAGCAACAGCAGTCGAAGGAGCGCGAAGACGCTCGCGAAGCTCGAGCCGATGGGCTTCGATCCCGCGTGGTTCGCGGGGGCGATCACGTCGGGGGAGATGACGTGGCGCGCGCTCGAGGCGCGCGACGCGTTCGAGGGGTCCGCGGAGGCGGACGCGCGAGGTCCTAAGCCGTTCGCGGGGGACAAGGTGCTTCACTTCACGTGGAGCGAGCGCGGCAGCATCGCGCTCGACGGCTTGGGTGCGTTCTGCGTTCTGCGCACGGCATATTCTTTTTCACTCATCGTCCTTCGGTTTCAACGGTTGATCGCATCCCCTTTCAACTGACCGATAAAATACATTTTTTCGTACGGAACGACCCTCAGGGCTCACGACGGTGACGTCGCCCGACGACGCGGACTTCATCGTCGCGCACGGCACGGAGGCGGTGAACGGCGCGGGGGACACGGACGCGCAGAGAGCGGCGGGGATAGAGCTCAAGGCGATGGAAGACATGCGCGGGCTGCTACGAAGAGCGGCGCGGCGGAACATTCCGATGATGGTCGCGAACCCGGACTACGGTGCGTTTTTCACCCACCCCGCCGCATCAGTTTCAACGTTTACTGTATTATTGATCGCGTTGGTCCCTTTCGATTGCTGACCGATGAACTTTTTTTCGCGCGGCGTCCGTCTCGCCCGCAGTGACCGTCGGCGGCGAGGGCGGCGCGCTGATGAAGATGCCGGGGACGCTCGCGCGGTGGTACGAGGAGGCGCTCGAATCGGAATCGGAGTCCGACGGCGAGGGGGAAGATGGAACGCCAACCGGCACCGGCACCGGCGGTGTTGTTCACCTGATGGGCAAGCCGAACAAGATCATCTACGACGAAGTCTTCCGCATGGCGTCGGACGGCGGCGGAGGCGCGCGCCGGACGATCTCCATGGAGAACGTCGTCGCCGTCGGCGACTCGCTCGAGCACGACGTGATCGGCGCCCAGAACGCGGGCTGCGACGTCGTCTTCGTGTGCGGCGGCATCCACGCCGACGACCTGGGCATGGACCCGGCGGCGTTGACGGGGGACGGCGTCGGCGACGGCGCGGCGGTTCCGTTCCCGCCGGCGGAAGCCATCGAGCGCGTCGCGCGCGCGCACGACGCGGCGCCGACGTACGCGGTGCCGGTGTTTAAGTGGTGAGGAGGATTCGCGTTCGCATTCGCGTTCGTTTCGTCGCGTCGTCGCGTAGCTATTAGTCATCTCCTAATCAATTAATCGTTCATCTATCAGTCATCTCCTAATCAATTAATCGTTCATCTATTAGTCATCTCCTAATCAATTAATCGTTCATCTATTAGTCATCTCCTAATCAATTAATCGTTCATCGCGTCGGAGCCGCCGTCCGCCTCCGCGCGCTCACCGCCGCCGCGCCTCCGGCACGTCCACGACGCGAATCAAGACCCCCTCGTCCTCCGGTCCGAGCGCGCCCACGATCTTCGGCTCGCGCATGCTCATCACGCCGCTGCAGCCGCTGAGGGTCGAGGGTCCGCGCGAAGCGACCGACGTCGGGGTGGAGTTCAAAGGCGCGTCAGTCGGAGTTGAAAGGCGTCGAGGTGTGTCGGGATTGAAACCGTGGCGTGCGCGGAGAGACACGCCGGGAGAGAAAGTCCTCAAGGAACGGCGTTCATCACGCCGACGCGGTCGTATGGGGACCAGTGTGAGATATAACGCGCCTGAACGTGATCCCGTCCTCTTCGCCTATCCTGTTGGCGCACGCGAAGTGCACGTCCTCGCCGACGAGCGGCGCCAGGCGGTTCAGCCAGTAGCTCCACTGATGCGATACGATACGACGTGGAGGGACGCGATTGGTCAGCTCGATCGATGAAATCAAATCTCTTGATGCGATCGGTCCAGATATGATGACGTGTCCGATCGTGTGGCCGAGAGAAAGAGAGAGGGCGGAGAGACACGCCGGGAAAAGTCCTTAAGGAATGGCGTTCACCACGCCAACGCGGTCGTATGGGAACCAGGGAGAGAACGCGCCACTTCGTTCGGATCCACCGGAGTGACGCTCTCGGGCGGATCGTCCGGGTGGTTGTTCGTCCACGCGCTCGCGAACAGCAGCAGCGACGACTCGTGCTTCAGGCACGCGCGCGCGAGCTCGTGCGCGGACCACGGCGCGACGAACCCGCGCGGGTTGATGTCCATGCATATGCCCAGCGTGGCGACGACGACGGATTCGCCGGATCCAGGGCCGTTCTATACAAGCGAATGTCGGGGTGGAGTTGAAAGGCGTCAGGTGAAGTTGAAAGGCGCCGAGGACGGGGATTGAAAGCGAGGGGTGGGCGGAGAGATGCGCCGGCAAAAGTCCTTAAGGATCGGCGTTCACCTCGCGAACGCGGTCGTATGGGGACCAGTGTTGTATAGAACGCACCTCACCGGATTCGCCGCCGGCGCCGTCGCGAACGGGGATCGGCACGGAGACGAACCCGGAGCCCTCGCTCGCCCAGGTCTCGTCGACGACGTACAGGTGCGTCTTGTGGTAGCGCGTCAGGACGGTCCCGTCCGCGGCGACGACGACGAGCGCGTTGTACAAGACGTCGTCGTCGTCGACTTCGACGTCGACGTCGTCGTCGCTCGACGTCCTGGAGTCATCGCGGTCTCCCCCACCGCCTCCGCCCTCCCCCCCCCCCTCCTCCTCCTCCCCCCTCTCCCTCGGCACCGCCCTGGGGTACCCGCACGCGACGACGCACCGCAGCCGCGCCGCGAGCGCGCGGCACCATCGCGTCGTCGGCCCGTCGTCGCGCTCCGGGTCGTTCCATGCGAGCGAACGTCGGGGTGGAGTTGAAAGGCGTCAGTTGATGGAGTTGTGAGGCGTCGAGGGCGGGCGTTGAGAGCGAGGGGTAGGCGGAGAGATGCGCCGGGAGAGAAAGTCCTTAAGGATCGGCGTTCACCACGCCGACGCGGTCGTATGGGGACCAGTGTGAGATAGAGCGCACCTCAGCGACGCGCCGCGCGTCGCGCGCGTCGTCGAACACGTACCCGGTCAGCGCCATCTCCGGGAGGAGCAGCACGTCGACGCCGTCGTCCGCGGTGAGGCGCGACGTCATCGCGTCGACGCGGCGCATGTTCCCGGCGACGTCCCCGCGCGTCGGGTTCAACTGCGCGCACGCCACCTTCACGCGCGGCATCGCGCGGTGCCGGCGCGCGACGAGATCTGACGACGACGAGACCGATGCCGCTGCCGATCCGCGTCATCAGTCCTGTCACGTCACGTCGTCAGATCCGATGGCGCGCGCGGCGTCGCCGCCGCGCGCGTCCGCGTCCACCGCGCTCGCGTACGCGCTCGCGTCCATCTCGCTCTCGCTCGCGAACGTCTCGCTCTCGCGCCGCTCGGACGCGACGACGACGACGACGACGACGACGTCGTGCGTCGTCCTCGCGTGCCAGTGCGCCTTCACGTCGCTCGTCTTCTTCGTCGTCGCGCGTCGCCGCGACGCGTCCTTCTCGCTCGGCCGTCTCCTCCGCGGCGCCGCGTCGCTCCGCGTCGCGCCGCTCGCGTGCGCGCACGCGGCGTCCGCGCTGACGCGCCAGGCGGCGACGTCGCGCCTCCCGCTCGCGACCGTCGTCGTCGCGCGGCATCTGTCGCCGCTGCTCGTCATCCCGCTGGAGCTCGTCTGCGACGCGTCGTCGACCTTGCCGACGCCGCGCGCGATCGAGGGGCTGCTCGTCGTCGCGCTCGGCGCGGGCGCGTACGCGCACGGGACGAGTCCGGAGGGCGTCGACGGCGTGGGCGCGGCGGGGATGGAGGAGTGGAACGCCGGGATGCGCGCGCTGGCAGCGCACCTGTTCGTCACCGCCGCGATGCTCGTCGCGACGCGACTCGCGCTGCTGTCGGACGAGGAAGTGTCGGATAAAGTGTCGGACACGTGTCGGACGACGCGCTCGGAAGGGAGAGGAGGAGCTAAAGGAGGAGGACGGCGGCGTTCACGGCGGCATCCGGACGCGTTCACGGCTTGCGTAAACGCGGCGACGGCGCCGGTTTTCGCGCTCGCCGCGTTTGTCTTCAGCGGCGGCGGCGGCGGCGGCGCGTCCCGCGCGACCGCGCGCGACGTCTCGATCGCGGCCGCGACGCTGCCGCTCGCCGCGGCGATGAGCTACGCGCAGACGCGAGCGCAGGCGGCGTTCAGCGCGACGTCGTTCACGGCGATAGGGAACGTCGCGAGGGCGGCGGCGGCGGGCGGCGACGCGTTGATGGTCGGAGGCGTCGTCCGCGGCGGCGGCGGCGGCGACGGCGGCGACGGCGGGCGAAACGCGCTCGTCGCGTGGTTTGGGCTCTTCGCGGTTTTCTACGGGAACGCGACGTACGCGAGGGAGACGACGCGGGAGGCGGCGCGGAAGCGCGACGGCGACGGCCTCAAGACGTCCTAAGAGAGCTGCAGAGCGAGAGGCTGCGGCGATTCACGTATACACGTGTACAGTTTGATAACCTTACTCGTAGTCGATATACATCGCAAAACGCCTCCGCCGCCGCCGTCGCGCGCCTCCTCCTTCGCCCTCACTTCTGCGCGCCGAAATCGTCGAACTCGGTGTAGTCGTCGTACGGGTTCGGCGACGCGTTCAGCCTCGACGTCACCCCTTGCGCCTTGAACGCCTTCAGCTTCAGCGGCAGCGGCTGCGGGGAGATCCAAAATCGAAACACGTTCATCGGTCACTTGAAAGGAGACGCGATCAAATGTTGAAACCGAGGGACGGGTGAAAAATTCTCTGAAGCGCACCTGCGACGTCGCCACCGTGATCTGCAATCGGAACGCGCTCTCCCCCGGCGGCACCTCCGCGATGCTGCCCACGCGCCCGCTGTTCAGCACCTCGTCGTTCGCCGCGTCCTTGACGCTGCCGTACACGTCCGCGTTGTACACGACGTCCTTGGTCGGGTTCGTCGCGACGCCCGAGATCTGCATGCAACGCGCCTTGTACGTCGCCGTCCCCGGGACCCCGCCCGCGCGCGGGTCGTCGCAGAGCTCCGCGGTCAGCGTGTCGGGGTCCACGGTCACGTTGACCGTCTTCGCGAGCGACGCGGACGGGGAGGAGAGGACGAGCGCGGCGGCGGCGAGCGCGGCGGCGGCGCGGCGCGACGACGCGATCGTCGGTCGCGTCGTCTCGCGGCGACAGCTGTGCGTCTCGTCGTCGGCGCCCGCGGCGGTCATCGCGGCGAGCGGTCTCCCGCTTCTCGTCGTCGTCGCGCGCGCGGCGCGGCGGGCGCGCCCCGCGCGCGCGGGCGGCGCGGAGACGCGCGCGCTCGCGACGGTCGGCATGCCGACGCGAAACTGAGAGTGGCCGCGCTCGAGGCCCGCGCGGGGGCGATATCCAACCATCAATCATTCCATCGCGTCGTCCGCGTCACCCTAAAGCCCGACGTTTTTGAACGATCTGGCGACAGACGCCCCCCGCGCGCGACCGCCGCTCGCACGCGCGTCATGTCCGCATCGCGCGCGACGACGACGACGACGACGACGACGCGCGCGCTCTGCCCCCGCGCGCGCGTCCTCGCGCGCGTCGTCTCCCGCGATGCCTCGCGCGCGCGCGTCGTCGTCGTCGTCGCGGCGACGCGCTCGGACGACGCGTCGAGTTCGAAAACCGACGGCGTCGTCGTCGGCGCCGCGCGATGGCGCGCGCTTCCGCCGCGCCGAGCGCGCGCGCGCGCGCGCGTCGTCGCGTCGTCGTCGTCGTCGTCGTCGTCGTCGCGCGCGGCGGCCTCTTCGCCGCCGCCGTTCCGCTGGACGCACGGATGGGCCGCGCTGGAGCCGGACGCGGACGCGACCGAGACAGATCTCGCGCGCGCGTCGTCGTCGTCGTCGTCCTCGTCCTCCTCCTCCTCCTCGCCCTCCGCCTCCCCGACCGGCGGCGTCCCGACGCTCGCGCTCGCGCTCGCGTCCGCGCTCGTCGTCGCGCTCGTGCACGCCGCGTTCGGCGCCGGATACGCGCTCGCGGCGGCGTCGGCCGCGTCTCCCGCGTCTCCGCCGGCCGTCGTCGCGCAAGTCGCGGGCGCGTCCTACGCGCTCTACGGCGGCTCCGGTGCGCGCCTTCGAGCCTGATTTTTCACCCGCCGCTCGGTTTCAACGTTCGATCGCGTCCCCCTTTCAACTGACGACGACCGATGCGCTGAAACCGCAGCCGCGAGCGCGCTGACGTCCGCGGTCGGCGCCTTCGCGTCGTACTGGTCCACCGCGATCGCGTCCGCGGTGAGCGGCGGCGTCGGGTACGTCGTCGCGCGCGCGAACGCGGTGCGCGAGATGAGAGCGCTGCGCGAGGAGTTGAGAGACGCGGTCGCGGCGGCGGCGGCGGCGCCGGCGACCGTCGCGACCGTCGCGACCGTCGCGACCGTCGCGTCGTCGTCGTCGACCGCGGAGGAGGAGGACACGGACTGGGCCGCGGTCGCGAAGTCGAGGGCGTTGTGGTCGCCCGAGGAGGCGACGGTTCGCGTCCCCGCGGCGGCGGCGGCGGCGGTTCGCGTCCCCGCGGCGGCGGAGGAGCGCGAAGACGCCGAGCGCGTCGCCGCCGCCGCGGAGCTCGCGGCGTTGCGCGCGGAGCTCGCGGCCGTGCGCGCGATGAGCGACGGCGCGGCGACGGACGCGGCGACGGACGCGGCGAAGGCGGCGCGCGTGGCGACGGAGGCGGAGCTTCGCGCGGCGCGCGCGGCGCTCGCGGCGACGCGCGCGGAGGCGCCGACGCCGACGCCGACGCGTTTGCCGCCGAGTCGGACGCGCGCGGAGGACTGGTCCGCGCGCGCCAAGTCGCGCGCGCTGTGGTCGCCGGAGATGGACGACGCCGAGGTCGGCGGCGGCGGCGGCGGCGGCGCGGACGACGCCGCGCTGCGGGCGTGACGGGACGACGCGCGAGCGAGCGCGCGCGCGGTTTTATTAGAGTTTGGTTTTCAGCATCGAAGTAAGAGTCGTAAAAGAACGCGACTGTCGAATCGAGCGCGCGCGCGGCGGGCGTCCGCGCGTCCTCCTTCTCTCCGCTTCCGCGCGAGACCGACGCTCTCGCGCGCGCGCCGCGACGACGCGCGGGACTCCCCGCCCGCGGCCCCGCGCGCGCGCCGCGCGCGCGCCGCGAAGCGCCGCGGTACCGCCATCCGGCGGCGTCGCGACGGACGTGTCCCGCGGAACTCGACTCGCGCGCCGGCTGCAGCCGGCGGGCTGGCCGGGGATGCGGGGCCGCCGAGAAGAAACCACGGCCGGTCCGCGGAGTCGGGGCGGCGAGATGCTCCTTCGCGTCGCCGCGCGACGTGTACGCGCAGTTAGTCTGCCGAATCGCGCGCGCGCGGATATTTTTTGAAAAGTCGCGCTCGACTTCGCTCGCGGTTTCCCGCTAAAAGGCACGCCTCTCGACCAATCGGCGTCGCCGATTCGAGCCGGGGTAGGGAGAAAATCGAGCATTTCCTCGCGAAAGGTCGCGCTCTCGCGACCCCAAACTGAATTCTCGTACGGAAGTGCATCGGATTCGTACGGGCAAACAGTTAGCGCGTACGAAGCACAGTACGCGCAGACGTAGTACGCGACACGTCAGCTCACGCGTCCCCTCGCGCGCTCTCGAGCCATCCTGGCCGTTCGTTCTACGCGTGAAGCGACGCGCTTTTCCAATTTTCGTTACAAAAGCCTGCTGGAATCGACGATTGGCGGCATTCACGCGCGCGCGGACTTCCCACGCACACGTATTCATCACCATGGCCTCATGGTGCACCGCCGCCGATAAGGCCGCCCTCGCCGCCTCCGGGCTCGCCGAGGCCGCCGGTGCGTTTCCCCCCCCGCTCCCCTCGCGCGTCGCCCCGGATCGTGCTCGCGACCTTTCGCCGGGGAAATTAACAGAATCGTCCCCGGGATCGCGCGCGCGATCTTCGCGCGCGGCGTCGCGCGATCGTCGCGATCGATCCTCCCCGCGCGATGAAAAAGTCGATATCGCGCCTCGATCGATCCTTTTCTCGCGCGCGGCGAGCTCGATCGCGCGTCTTCGCATCGCGCGCGCGCGTTCTCCGCGCGATTCGATTCCGGACCCTGGCCCTTTCGCTTTTTCCCGGTTCCCCCGAAATTACGGCGGGGACGAACTGCGGACGACGCGCGCGCGACCGCCGGTCGACGATCGAGACGCTGACGCGCGATTCGATTCCCCCCTTCTCTTCCCATTGACGACGCGTCGCAGTCTCCGTCATCTGCGCGGGCGACGCGCGCCGTCGGCTCGACAGTGACACTGAGGATGACTACACTAAGATGGGCATTGCGAACGCCACCACCACCATCTTCCTCCTTTTCGCCACCGCGCTTGTGTTCTTCATGCAATCCGGTTTCGCTATGCTCTGCGCCGGTTCCATCCGCGCGAAGAACGTCAAGAACATCCTCCTGAAGAACGTCCTCGACGCCGCCGTCGGCGCGATCTTCTGGTACCTCTTCGGTTACGGCATCGCGTTCGGTGTCCCCGGGGACGGCAACTCCAACCGCTTCATGGGCGAGGCTGACTTCGCGCTGGGCATCTCGGCCGTTGGTCCCTCCGGTGGAAACGACTGGATTTGGTTCCTCTTCCAATGGTCTTTCGCCGCCGCCGCGGCGACCATCACCTCCGGCGCGATGGCCGAGCGCACGCAGTTCGCCGCGTACCTCGGCTACTCCGCGCTCCTCACCGGCTTCGTCTACCCCACTGTCGTCCACTGGGCCTGGGGCGGCGGCTGGCTCAGCAGCGTCCCCTGGAAGAAGGAAGACGGGGACAAATCTCTCGCGTACCACGACTTTGCCGGCTCCGGCGTCGTTCACATGGTCGGCGGGTTCTCCGGTCTCATGGGCGCGATCATGGTCGGCCCGCGCACGGGCCGCTTCGACGCGCAGGGTCGCCCGATCGCGATGCCCGGCCACAACGCCGCGCTCGTCGTCCTCGGCACCTTCATCCTCTGGGTTGGCTGGTACGGGTTCAACTGCGGTTCCCAGGGCTCCGCGACCTCCGCTGCTGATGCCGTTGCCATCGGCCGCGTCGGTATCACCACGACGCTCGCCGCATCTGCCGGTGGCGTGACGTCCCTGTTCCTCAACTACGCGCTCTACAAGGTCTGGGACCTCATCGCCGTGTGCAACGGCGTCCTCGGAGGCCTCGTGTCCATCACCGCGGGCTGCGCGGTGCTTGACATTTACATGGCCCTCTTCGCCGGCTTCATCGGCGCGTTCGTTCTCTTCGGCTCGAGCAAGCTTCTCCTCAAGCTCCGCATCGACGACCCGCTCGAGGCGTTCCCCGTGCACGGCGCGTGCGGCATGTGGGGTGTCCTCGCCGTCGGCCTCTTCGCCAAGGAAAAATACCTCGGCGACGAAGACAACGATCGCTACGGCGCCCTCATGGGCGGCAACGGCAGGCTCTTCGGCGTCCAGCTCTTGGGCTGCGTCGCCATCATCCTCTGGACGTGCGGCATCCTCGGCCCCTTCTTCTTCGTTTTGAAGCAGGCTGGTCTCCTCCGCACCTCCGCGGAAGAGGAGGCTGCCGGCCTCGACGAGTCCAAGCACGGCGGCTCCGCGTACAACAACGCATAAGAGCGCGACGACGAAGTGATCATTTTTTCAACGCGCGCCGGATCGGCGCGCGCGACGACAAAGTGTTCTTCCAATAAGAATAACAGAGTGGACGCGATCGCGACGGCGTCTTCGATCGGAGACGGCGCGCGGACGGCGGGGCCCGCTTTCCCCCTCGTGCCACGAGTGAAAGAGAGTAGAAATGAATGAATAACACAAGTATAATTTTTCGCACCGCTCGAGTCCTCCCTCCTGCCCGCCGGTTACACGTACTTGTACGTGTACGTGTACTCCACATATGGGCTTTTAGTATCGAATCGAATTCGCCCAACGTGGCGTGGTCCGGATTCTGTCCGCGCGGACAGGAGCTGATAGATATTTCTGCGCGCGCCAGAGCCACGGGCGCGCCGCGACCGCCGCCGCCCTCGCACGCGCGCGCGCGCCGCGTCGAGCTCGCCGACGGACCGCAGCGGCGTGGCGTCGCGCGACGGGACCCGAGCGCGAGCGGACGCGCTGGTTCCGATCGATCGTTCGCGCGCGTCGACTTCGATCGATCGTTCGTTCGCGCGTCGCGTCGGTCGACCTCGCGCGCCTCTCGTCCCTCCGCCGGCGCGATGCGCGCGTCCCTCGCGCTAGCGCCGTCGTCCGCGTCGCCGCGGACGCGCGCCGCGCCGTCCTCCGCCGCCGTCGCGCGCGTTCGAGCGCGACCGCCGCGAGCGACGACGAGCGACGACGACGACGGACGCGCGTCTTCTTCTTCGCGCGACGACGACGCGCGCGCGCGATCGCGCGAGGTCGCGGACGCGACGCGCGAGGAGCGCGAGAGCGCGATCGCGCGCGCGCGCGTCGGCGCGTCGCCGCCGCCGCTCGCGTCGCTGACGCGCGCGCGCGCGAGCGAGGGAAGCGGACGCGGACGCGACGCCGCGACGGTGGGGGTGTCGACGAGTCGTTCGTCGTTCGAGGACCCGTCCGCGCGCGCGGACGGCGCGGTCCTCGCCGCCGCCGCCGCGGCCGCGACGCTCGCGGTGATCGGCGCGAGGAACCGAAGGCGGCGGCGACGCGAGAAGAAGACCGCGGACGCGAGAGCGGCGAGCGCGCGGACGGTGGCGGCGGCGCAAACGCGACCGCCGCCGCCGCCGACGCCTCCCGCGCCGACGCCGACGCGAACGCCGCCGCCGACGCCTCCCGCGCCGACGCCGACGCGACCGCCGCCGCCGCCGACGCCAACGCCGCCCGCGAGGCCCGAACCACCGCCAAGCGTGCCGACCGCGCCGCCGGGCGGCGTCGACTCCGCGACGGTCTCGCCGACGCTGAGCCTGACCGAGGTCTCCGACACGAAATGGTTGCGACCTTCGATCGACGACGACGACGACGACGCGAACGACGCCGCCGTCGAAGCGAAGAATTCGGACGCCGCGACGACACCGAACGCGACGTCGCCGTCCGCGCCCGCGCTCGAAGGCGATCGCCGACAGAGAGCGACCGCGCGGTGGGACGTCGCCGCGGACGACGTCGCCTATCCCCCCGCGCCGCCGCCGCCGACGCCCGCCGACGACCTCGATCTGAACAAAAAACGCCGCGACGGGCGCCGGAAACAGCGCGCGCAGTACTTCAAGAACAACACGTCCGTGCGACGAGGGAGCGTCGACGCGATCGAGGAGATGGAGCGGATTTTGACCTCGCGGCTCGCGAAGGAACCGGGCAAAGTCCTTAAGGAATCGCGTTCACCACGCGAACGCGGTCGTATGGGGACCAGTGAGAGATACGCGCCGAGAGCCGGGAGAATCGTCGACTCGCGCGAGCTCGGCCCGGCGGCGTACAGCATGGCGCTCGCGGCGCTGACGCGCGAGCGGAGCCTGTCCGGGGTGAAGGGCGAGGGGACGTTCAGCGACGTGTACACGACGCGTAAGAACGAGGACGAGCGCGACGGCGGCGGCGGCGGCGGACGGCGCAAGTGGCTGAACGGTCCGTTGGAGAAAGTTTCCGACGACGGCGGCGGCGACGCGCCGACGCTTCCCGACGTCGTCTTCGCCCTCGACGCGCGCCCGGTCGTCATGAAGTGCTCCGTGCCGTTCCCCGGGGTCATCCAAGGCCGCCCTATCGGCGACGGGCTCTCCATCGGCGAGGTTGAAGCGAAGGTGTTGTCCGCGCTGCCGCCGCACGAAAACGTCGTGAAGCTCCACGCCGCGTTTCTCAGGTGAGCCTGGTTCTACGGTTTCGCCCTACACGTACACGTACGATGAAAACTCGATTTCATCGACTTTCGATCGCGTTGGTCCCTTTCAACCCTTTCAACTGACCGACGAACGCGTCCTCGTCAGCGACGAGCGAAACGAGAGCTACCTCCTCCTGTCCGACGTCGGGGATAATCTCCACGCGTCGCGCGAGCGAGGCGAGGTCTCCCCGAAGGACGTCCGACGGCACGCGCGGAGCGTCCTTCGAGCGCTGAAACACTGCCACGCGCACGGGGTGACGCACAGGGACGTCAAGGGCGGAAACGTGCTCGTCGGAGAAAATGGCGTCGCCACGCTGATCGACTTCGGCGTCGCGCGCCACGCGTCCGTCGCGGACACGCTGCCGCCGGATCGGTACGGCACGCCGGGGTACCAAGCCCCGGAGGTATTGCTGTCGGACATGTCCGACAGTTTGAAGGACGACGCGCGGTACGCCGCCGTGGACGTGTTCGCGCTCGGGTGCACGATTTTTTTTCTGTGCGTGGGCCGCGAGCTGTACGGGCCTTCTCCCTCCGGCGACGGCGGGCTCGGCGCGAGCGGCGTCGGCGTCGGCGGCGGCGGCGAGGCCGAGGTTCAGCTCGGCGCGCGGACGAAGACGAAGGCGAGGGCGACCGGCGCGCAGGTCGCCGTGGACCTCGCCGTGGAGGAGGTGTACGACGATACGTGGGAGAGCGTCGACGAGGGCGACGACTTCGACGACGAATTCGACGGCGACGGCGACGGCGGCGGCGGCGGGGACCTCATCTCGGAGACGATGATCAAGAAGAGAGCGCCGCGGCGGCGAGACGACGGCGGCGGCGGCGAGACGAACGAAGAAGACGCGATGAGCTTCGGGCGGCGGCCGGGTCGCGGGCTGCGTTTGAACCCGGCGCTGTGGCGCGTGTTGCAGCGAAACGTCAAAGAAGCAGAGGCGGTCGCCGCGGCGAAGGAAGAAGCGTTCGACATGCTCGTGTTGCGGTGCGCTTTTTCTTTCCTTTTCTTTTCTTTCCTTTCCTTTCGTCGTTTCCCCGGCGAGCGAGCGAACGACTGACTCGATTCCTCCCTCCCTCGATCCCCGCAGGTCGATGGCGGACTTTCCCGGGTACGAGCCGCGCACGGCGGAGGAGAAGGCGTACGTGGAGGCGACGTACGAGGGCAGCGCGTGCCCGGAGCGCGCGCCGCCGGGGCGCGAGCTGCTTCCGAGCTTCATCGCGCGGAAGCTCACGCCGCGTCAGGTGTGTTCCTCGCGCCGTTCCCCGTGCGACCGCGTTGGCGCGGTGCACGCCGTTCCTTGAGGACTTTATCTCCCGGCGTCTCTCTCCGCCCAGCCCTCGGTTTCAATCCCCGACCTCGACGCCTTTCAACTCCAACTGACGCCTTTGAACTCCACCCCGACGTCGCTCGCAGCCGCCCGCGTTCGCGTCGCTCGTCGCGGCGATGCTCGCGAGAGACCCGGAGGATCGACCGACCGCGGACGAAGCGCTGCGATGGCCGGGCGCGTGGGCGGAGCTGGACGACGACGAGGAGGGCGGCGGCGGCGGCGGCGGCGCGTGATGTAGGGTTTATGGTTATGGTTTAGGGTTAGGGTTAGGGTTCTTTCAAGCGACGACGAGAGAGGCGATGGGTCGCGCCGCCGGACTCGAAGTCGCGTCGACGCGACGCGTTCATCCGTCCTCCGACCTCCGTCCTCCTACTTCTTCTTCTTCTTCTCGCCGCCTCACCGCAGCGGCACCATGCGATCGACGGTCTCCTCGTTGAGCAACACCTCCGGGGGTACGTACCGGTACGTCGTCGCCTCGCCGCCGTGGATGAAGTCGCTTCCGAGGAGCAGATAGGACGCGACGAAGACGACTGATGAGGGCGATTCCGCGCGAAGGAAGCGACGTCGGGGTAGAGTTCAGGGGCGCGTCAGAAGCGGAGTTGAAAGGCGTCGCGGGCGGGGATCGAAAGCGAGGGGTGCGCGGAGAGAAACGCCGGCAAAAGTCCTTAAGGATCGGCGTTCACCACGCGAACGCGGTCGTATGGGGACCAGTGTGAGATAGAACGCGCCTGAAAAGATCGCGATGAGCGGCCCGAACGACAGGAACGACGTGAGTCCCAGCTTGACGAGCTCCCCCGCCCTGCTCGGGAACCCGTCCAACCCCTCGTTGTTGATCGACCGCGATCGCTTGAGCTGCTCCGTCTCCACCCCGCGCGCGCCGTCGTCGCGCGGCGCGAACCGCGGCGCGTCCCGATCCGCGCCTCCCGCCCACTTATCCGAGCCGCCTCCGCCTCCTCCTCGCGCGGACGCGCCCGTCTCGTCGCCGTTCTCCTCCGCGGCGCGTCGTCGCTTGAGCTCCTCCGCGAACGCGGACGACGTCGCGTCCGCGTCGCCGTCCGAGGCGACGTCGTCGTCCCCGCTCGTCGCGCGCGTCGTCGTCGTCGTCGTCGTCGTCGTCGTCGTCGTCGTCGCGCGGCGACGTGGCCAGCGATCGACGCGGATCGCGAGGCGAGACGACCGCGTCGTCGTCGTCTTCGCCGTCGCCGGCGCCGACACCGCGACGCGGCGCGCGGACGCGACGGACGCGACGCCGCGCGCGCGCGCGGCGCGCGGCGCGAGCGCGACCGTGGGCGCGGCGAAGGCCATGTGGAGTGACGAGTGATGGTGAACCGGCGCGCGCATCTGATAAAAAATCTGCGTTCGCCGTAGTACAGTACGTTTTCGTCGTAGGGCCTACTGTACACGTATGGGCATTCATGCTCCGCCGCACACCGACGACATCGACGTCAAATGTCGGTCAGAGCGGGCCAGGCCATAACGTCTCGACGCGAGAGGCGCGACCGACAGGGAGGATGCGCCCCCGACGTCGCGCGCGCGCGGCGCGACCGACGCCGACGCCGACGCCGACGCCGACGCCGACGCCCTCCTCGCGCGATGACGATCGCCCTCCCCCCGCCGCGTCGTCGTCGTCGTTCGCGTCGCTGCCGACGTCGCTCGCGCGTCGCTTCGTCGCGCTCGCCGCGTGGAAGCGATTCGCGCTCATCACGCTCGTCGTCGCCGGACCCTACGCGCTCTACGTCTCCTACCTGTGGATCCGTCTGCAGTCGGGTCTGCTGCGCGCGCCCGTGCGCGTCGCGACCCCGCGCGCGGTCCTCATCGTCGGCACGCAGTCCAGCGGCACCACGCAGATGTCCGCGGAGCTCGGAAAGATCGGACTCGAGGTCGCGCACGAGACGTCCGACGCGCAGTGGGAGTTCGCGAGAGACGGCACGATCTCGTGGCTCCACGCGCTGCGGTTCATGCCCGGCCGCGCGGACCTGGCGTTCACGACCGCGTTCTGCTCGCGGTTTCGCAGGAGCATGGGGTTTCATCCCGCGATGTTTGGCCCGCCGGAGCTAGGGTGCTCGTATCGAAAGACCTGGGACGACTGCTGGCGCACGCAGTGCGGCGTCATCGCGCGGAGGGAGTGGGGGTGCGCCAGGAGCGGGAGCTGCGAGACGCCGTTCGAGACGTCGCTGCTGCAGCTCCGGCATCCGCTTCGGACGATGGAGAGCCTCGCGGCGAAGTTTTGCGGACGCGCCGTCATGGTCGGCTCCGGTCTCTCGGCGCCGAATCACCTCGCGAGGTGAGACTGGTTCCCATACGACCCCGTTCGCGTGGTGCACGCCGTTCCTTAAGGACAACCAGTCTCACCGCTTTCCGTGCGATCCCGTTCGCGCGTCGAGCGCCGTCTGTAGAGGACTTCTTCTTCTTCGTCGTCATCGTTTGTTCGTTTTCCACCACACGAACTGCCACGTCATCGAGTCCGATCGCACGCTGACCACTCGTATCATCCCGTCCCGCCGCTAGCGCAGACCGAACCCCGAATTCATCGAGATCGTCGCCGCGTTGTGGCCCGAGCGCGACGACTGGCATTCGCTCGCGTGCGCGGACGCGATGGGATGGTACGTCGCGCTGTACACCAGGGACATGCTGAACGCGCGAGACGAGGGCGTCATCGCAGAGGCGTACCGGGTCGAGGACACGCCGCCGTGCGCGGTGGCGAAGATGTCGGGGTTGCTCCAGCGCTCCGAGCGCGCCGCCGCGAGATGCGACGCGTATTGGGCGAGCGTCGCCGCGAGCGGGGAGGAGGGCGCGCCGACGCGGAAGGGGAGGAATCGTCGAAACAGAGACGGCATAGTGCGACTCTCGATGCGCGACGTCGAGTCGGAGGAGTTGCGAGCGCTCGTGACGGACGTCGCGAATCGTTCGGGCTACGCGCTGTGATTGTATCCCCCGCGACGCGAACGCGAGCGAGAGCGAGATACTATCTATCCATTTTGCGATACTACCACCACTACGTATGCGTCGCCCTCCGCCGCGCCGCCGTGCGAGCGCTCCGTCGAGGCGTCGACGCGCTCGAGGACTTCGTCGCGGCGCTCTTCGATCGAGCCCCGCCCCCGCCCCCGCCCCCGCCCCCGCTAAAGTCGAGCGCTTTCGACTGAAGAGACGCGAACACGAGCGCGGCGCCGAGCCACCGCCGCGACGTCATCGCGCGCGCGTAGATCGCGTTCGACAGCAGGATGGACAAAACCTGGCGCGTCGTCATTATCGTCGCGAACAGCACCGCGCCGAATTCGCGTATCGTGTACAGGATGCACAGCTGTCCGCACGTGCTCGCGAGCGACAGCGCGACGCAGTCCGCGAACGCGGCGGGGTGCCGACGGACGAACCCGATCGCGGCGCCCATGGACGCGTCCCACAGCGTCATCCACGCGCACGCGCCCGCGGCGCTGAACGCGTTGACCCACAGCATCTGGTTGTACACGTTCTCCGTGCGGTACCGCCCTCGAAACAGCTCGTCTTGAAGCGCGCTCGTGAACTGGGCGAAGCGATCGGGAACGCGTCGGTCAGTCGAACGTCTCACCGGTCAAACGTTGAAAGGGAAGCGCGGGTGAAGAGTGACGACGGGGAAAGTCCTTAAGGAATGGCGTTCACCACGCGAACGGGGTCGTATGGGAAGCAGTCTCACCCCGTCCACGGCGAGGTACGCGAGCATCAGCGCGACGCCGTACGCCGGGCCCCACGCGGCGACCCCCGACGTCGCGCCGCGCGCGCCGTTCCTCGAGGACTCAGACTCTTCTCCCGTCGTCGCGAACGCGGCGCAGCCGAGCGCGACGCCGAGCGCGACGAGATAGTCCTTCGCGCCGTACGAGCGAACGTCGGGGTGGAGTTGAAAGGCGTCAGTAGGAGTTGAAAGGCATCGAGGGCGGGGATTGAAAGCGAGGGGTGATGGGCGGAGAGAGACGACGGGAAAAGTCCTTAAGGAACGGCGTCCACCTCGCCAACGCGGTCGTATGGGGACCAGTGTGAAGGAGAACGCACCTTCGCGCCGTACGATCTGCCGTTGACGGCGACCCCCCACGCCAACGCGGGTAAAATCTTCGCGCTCTTCGCCATCGTCTGCGCTGGGAACGAGACGTACTTCAGCGCTTCGTACTGGCACGTCGTCGCCACCACGTTGGACGCGCTCACGATGGCGTACGCGGGCGCGGGCGCGACCGGTCGCACCGCGCCGCGCGTCCAGACGAGCGCCGCGGCGGCGACGGACGCGGCGACGACGCGATTGCACAGGACGAGGAACACGGAGTGCGCGAACGACTCCTCCGCGCCGCCGTCGTCGTACGGCGATCTCATGATGCGCTCTTGGAGGATGCCGTACACGAGGAGTGACCCCACGACGCCGACGACGCAGCCGACGACCTTGACGATCATCGCGCGGGGGGGGACGCGCGGGGGGACGCGGCCGGGCATCGCGAGCGGAGTGTGTGTGTGTGTCGTGGCGTGTGCGCGTGTCGTTGACGATCTCTCCGGGTTACAGAAAAATGCAACGCGCACTCGTCGCGGTGACGCGCTCATCAAAAGTAGTCCTGCTTGAACACCGCGCGGTCGAAGTCCACCTTGTGCTTCTCCCTCGGCGCCGCCTCGATCGCGCGCACGCCGTCCTCCGCGACGACGGTCCGGTTCAGACGCGGGTGATACGGCGGGTTCATCACGCTCCGCTGCGCGAGCAGTTCATCGGTCAGTTGAAAGGAAACGCGATCAAATGTTGAAAGCGAGCGATGGGTGAAATTCACGTTTGTATCGAACGCACCTGCGCGTCCGTCATGCCCTCCAGAAACGCGCTCGGCCACCCGTTCTCGGCGTACCTGCGACGCGCGAAGCGAACGCCGACGTGGGTCAGTCGAACGGACGTCGCGGTCGACGTTTGAAACCGGGATGGGGTGAAAAATGCGAGCGACAGAAGCGAGCGCGCACCCTCGGCCGTACGCGTTTGTCGCCGGCGAGAAGCGATAGATGACGTTCCGCCGCTGCGACGCGCCTCTCCACGGCAGCGTCCCGTGCGTCGTCGCCTCGGTGAACACGACGACGTCGCCCGCGTCGATCGCGGGCTGATGCGCGTGCTCGACCGCGCGCTCGTATCGCTTGATCGCGGCCGGGCACGCGTAGTTCGACTTGTGCGATCCGCGGATCACGCAAAAACCGCCCTCTCCCTCCTTCACGTCCGTCAGGTGCACCGCGAACGCGAGAAGGTTGCACCGCATCTTCCCGTGGTTGAACTGGTACCCCAGCGGGTGGTTCCACTCGCCGCTGTCCAGCGTGCTGCCGCCGTGGAATTCGAACCCCTCGCTGCCCGGGTCTTGGAGGATGAGCAGCGGGTTGTGGTCGAGTCGGTATCCGGGTCCGACGAGCTCGTGGAGGTACGGGAGCAGCCGCGGGTGCGTCAGGACGTCGCGAAACGGCTCCCGGTGAGGCGTTTCCCATCCGAGGAACCCCGCGAGGTCCTTGCGACCGGTCACGCCGTCGCCGCTCAGAGGCGTTCGGTTCGCGGTGAGCCGAAGCTGGCCTTTGCGCTCGTGTATTCGGTCGGCGTGCGCGTCGATCGCGGCGTGGAATCGTCGCAGGTCGTCCGCGCCGAAGACGCCGCGAACGACGACGAAGCCGTTCGTGTCGAACAGGAACTTGTCCTCGTCGCTCATCCGCGCCGCGTCCTTCCGCCCTCTGAACGGGTTCAGCGCCGCGCCGTCGTGGCACATCGAGCGGCGCGCGCCCGCGAGGAGCCTTTGAACTCCACCCCGACGTTCGCTCGTATGGACAATTACCCTCAGGCGCGCGGCGAGGGGATGATGATGAGGGCCGTCCTATACGAGCGAACGTCGCGGGGTGATGGAGTTGAAAGGCGTCAGAAGCGGAGTTGAAAGGCGCCGAGGGTGGGTATTGAAAGCGAGGGACCCTGGGCGGAGAGATGCGCCGGGAGAGAAAGTCCTTAAGGATCGGCGTTCACCACGCGAACGCGGTCGTATGGGGACCAGTGTATGGGACGCGCCTGACCCGCGGACGTCATCGACTGGGCACCCCACGACGACGACGACGACGACGACGCGCCGCGTCCGAGGCGCGCGGCGTCGCGCGCGAGCCGCGCGAGCGCCGCGCCGCGCGACATCGAGGAGGGCGGGCGGGCGGGCGCGCGAGCGGCGGACGCGAACGAGGACGCGCGCGGGGAGTGTTCTCCGACGACCGCGGCGCGCGAGGAGGAGTGGGCGACGACGTCGACGACGCGTCATCTCGGAAGAGCCCGGACGACGGAATTTTTTTTGGATCAGGTTTATGAAAAGTACGTCGCCCCCTCCTCGTCGTCACGCGGTCTTCCGCTTCAGCGCCGGCGCCATGGTGTAGCAGTTCAAGAGCGACAAGAACACCCCCAACCCCCCGACCTGCCGCTTGCTCAGGTTCAACTTCTCGAGCAGCGCGAGCGCGAGCGTCGCTTGCGTCGCGTTGGCGACGACGGCGGTCATCAACTTCTGCGCGGGGAGACGGAGGGACGGCGTCGGATGGATTCGAGACGGTCGGCGGCGGGGTGCGACGCGAGCGAGGGAGGGGACGCGCGTCTCGAGCGTCGTCTCGAAGAGAAAGTCATCGCGAAGTCCTTAAGAAACGCGAGGCACCGCGCGAACCGGAGACGTATGGGGCGCGGTCGGGTACGTCGTCTCGTTCGACGCGATTACCTGCGCCTTCGCCGCCGCCGCGCTCTTCTCTTCGTCGTCGTCCTTCTTCGTCGCCGCGGTCATCGCGTCGAGCGCGTCCGTCAGCTCCCTCGTCGCGGTCGCGAGCCCGGCCAAGGACGCGAGGCACCACGACCAGTACGACACTTTCTGCGCGCGTTGTGCGAGTGATTTGTCGGACAACACGCCCGCGGCGCCCGCCCACACCACGTGGTCCGCTGCGAAGTAGAACGTCATCCCGAGCGTCTTGACGAGAGATAACGCGCGCGCGAGGTCTTGGCCGGGGCGACGCTTCCCGCCGCGAAGCGTCGCGCCGGTCAGGAGCGGCATCAGCGTCTCTATCGGCTGCGACGCGATGCGATGTTGGGGCGGGCGGGCGGGCGGGTGAACGTCAGGTCGGTCGACGAGAGGACGCGTCTTCGCGGCGGGCGCCGGCGTCGGGTCGGTTCGAGAAAGTAACAACATTTCCGGAAGGATCGTCGTCGTCGGCGTCGGAGCCGGTCGCGCGCTTCCCTTCCTTCTCATCGCACCTTGAAGACGCGGAACGGTTTCCTCGCCGCGCCGAGGCTCTTCTGTATCGCGAGCGCGGTCCCCGCCTCGCCGCCGCTGGCGAACATCGCGACGTATTGCAGCAGCGCGATGGCTTTGTCTTTCCCGTCCGAGGTTCGGAGCAGCCCGGAGATCTGAGGGCCGTTCCATACAAGCGAACGTCGGGGTGGAGTTGAAAGGCGTCAGATGGAGTTGAAAGGCGCCGAGGGCGGGGATTGAAAGCGAGGGGTGGGCGGAGAGACGCGCCGGCAAAAGTCCTTAAGGATCGGCGTTCACATCGCCAACGCGGTCGTATGGGGACCAGTGTATAGAACGCACCTGATCCGCGCGCGCGAGCGTCGCGTCGAGGGAGAACGACATCCTTCCCGTCGTCTTCTGTCGGGAGGAGCGACCGAGTGACTTCGCGGCGGGAGGGAGGAGGGCGCGGTCTGCCGCGGGGACGATGCCGCGCGGGGGCTGAGAGCGTCGCGGGCGGGCGGTCCTCTGGGACGACGGGAGAATTTCCATCCAGCGTTTTCATCGCGGGCGCGGAACCGTACGTGAGTACGCGTAGTTTTTTGCCGCGTGAGCGTATGCGTTTCAGTCACGGCCAGGGTTTAGGCCAAAAATACAGCGGCCCCGTGAAAGGTCCTGTCTGCTTCTGATACGCTCGATCGATCGTCCGATCCCTAACGGGCCGGAGTCGCCGCGCCCCCTCGCGCGCAGACCACGGCCGCGCAGGTCTCGCGCCGTCCTCCGCCACCGCGCAGGCAGGAAAGCAAAGCAAAGCCGAGCCGCCATGGTCCTCTCGAACGCGATCCGCGCGGCGACGCGCGGCGTCCGCACGTCCTCCGCCGCGGCCATGTCGCTCCCCGCGCTGACGACCCCAGCCGCGGGCAAGCCGTCGATCTTGGGCGCGATCTTCGGAGGCGCGACCCCTCCCGCCGCGCCGCCGATGGACACGCCGCTCCCGGGCCTCGCGATCCCGGACCCGCCGCCGCACCCCGCGACCGCGCCGACGACGCACGTCACCGTCCTGAGCAACGGCGCGACGATCGCGTCGGAGGACGCGCCGGGGGCGTCGCTCGCGGTCGGCCTGTACGTCGGCGCGGGCTCCAAGCACGAGATCCCGGGGTACACGACCGGCGCGGCGCATCTCCTCGAGCGGTGCGCGTTCAGGGCGACCGCGAACCGAAGCACGTTCCGCCTCACGCGCGAGGCGGAGGTGATCGGCGCGAACTTGCTCGCGAACGCGAGCAGGGAGCAGATGGGATACACGATCGACTGCCTCAAGACGCACTTGCCCGAGGCGCGTTCTCCTCACACTAGTTCCCGTACGACCGCGTCGGCGTTGTGAACGCCGATCCTTGAGGACTTTTGCCGGCGCATCTCTCCGCCCAACCCTCGCTGCTTTCAATCCCCACCCTCGACGCCTTTCAACTCCAACTGACGCCTTTCAACTCCACCCCGACGTTCGCTCGTATGGAACGACCCTCAGGCGGTGGAACTTCTCGCGGACGCGGCGCTCAACCCGAAATTCGCGGATCACGAGGTGGACGCCGTCGCCGCGCAGCTCAAGAAGGAGATGCAGGAGATGGCGAAAGACCCGAGCGCGCTCATCATGGAGGCGCTGCACGCGACCGCGTTCGAGGGCGGGCTTGGGCAGCCGCTCGTCGCGTCGCCGGCGGCGCTGTCGCGATTGAACGCCGCCGCGTTGAAAGATTTCGTCGCCGACAACTACGTCGCGCCGCGGCTCGTGCTCGCCGCCGCGGGTTGCGCGCACGCGGAGCTCGTCTCCCTCGCGGAGCCGCTGCTGTCGTCGCTCCCCAAGGCGAAGGGGCAGCCGTCGATCCCGTCGCGGTACGTCGGCGGCGATTACCGCGTCGGCGGCGACGCGCCCGCGACGCACGTCGTGCTCGCGTTCGAGTGCGCGGGCGGATGGAAGGATCATAAGAGCGCCACCGCGATGACCGTCTTCAACACGCTCATGGGCGGCGGCGGGTCCTTCTCCGCGGGCGGCCCGGGCAAGGGCATGTACTCGCGTCTGTACACGCGCGTGCTGAACAAGCATCACTGGGCGCAAAACTGCACCGCGTTTCACTCCGTGTTCGACGACGTCGGCGTCGTCGGCGTCTCCGGCGTCGCCGACGCGGGCAAGGCGAGCGAGATGGCCGCGGTCATGGCGCGGGAGATGCTCGCCGTCGCGTCCGGGGGCGTGACGGAGGAGGAGCTCGAGCGCGCCAAGGCGGCGACGATCTCGTCCATCCTGATGAACCTCGAGTCCAAGGCGATCGTCGCCGAGGACGTGGGGCGCCAGATTTTGACGTACTCTGAGCGAAAGCCGCCGGGGGAGTTCATCGCGCAGATCCGCGCGCTGACGGTGAAGGACATGACGGAGTTCGCCAAGGGGGCGATCAAGTCCGCGCCGACGCTGTGCCAGGCTGGGGACTTGTCCTCCGCGCCGAGGTACGACAAGGTGAAGGCGATGTTCAACTGATGAAGCGACGGACGGAGACACCTTTGAACGGAACGGAGGACGCGAGGAGAGACGCTGGAGGAAGTCCTCAAGGAATGAAGTTCACAACGCGAACGCGGTCGTATGAGGGCCAGTGCGAGGAGAGCGGGCGGAGGACGCGGACGGTGGATCGATCGGCCGGGAACCGTCCTTCGGTGTGATGAATGAAATCTTCTATGATATCATATGATACTATTTATCATCGCTCGCCGCTCGTCGATCGCTCTCCACGCCACGTCGTCGTCGTCGCGAGCGCGGCGCGCGCGTGGGCTATTCACTACGTACTGTACTTGGCTCGCCGCCCAACCAACCGTCTCGTCGTCGGATCCGTCCGTCGTCGCGTCGTGTCGCGCTCACGTCCTGCCTCCTCCCGCGCTCGCCTTCTTCCGCGGGTTCAAAAACTTCTCGCGCTCCCTGTGCGCGGAGAAGTACACCCTCACGTCCAGGCCGTCCACGCACCGCGCGACCCTCGCTCTCAGCACCGGCCTCGGCGCGGTCGGATCAGGCCCGCCGCCCGCGCCCGCGCAGTCGAGCTCGCCGATGTACTGATACAGCGACCCGATCCGCGGCGCGTCCGCGCTCGGGACGACGCTCGCGTCCACGGCGAGCGTCGCGCCGTCGTGCTCGATGCGCCCGCGGCACGTCGCGGGGTCGTAGGATTCGAGCCTGGGAAGACGGGGAGGGAGGATGGGGGGGATCACTCGACGCGAGATTCGAATCGGAGACGACAGACGCTGGCGCCTCGCTCGCGTCTCGAAGCGCGTTCGCACCTGCCGAGGACGCGGACGGAGTGCTCGTGCAGCGCGTCCGCGCGGTCGCGGACCTCCGCGAGGGTGTGTACGACCCCGTGCGCGATCATCCCACCGGCGGGGGGAGGTCGCGCGACGCGAAGTGACGACGCGAGGACGAACGCGCGTCGTGGTGCATTTTTGATGGGCACTATTTTTCATTTGCTATCATCGACGCGTCAGGCGGCGGCCGCCGGCGTCGCGCTCTCTATCCCCTCCGCGTCGACTTCCTCGTCGCGGGAGGTTTCGGTTTCGGTTTCGGTTTCGGTCTCGGCGGCGGCGTCGTCGTCGTCGTCGCGGCGACTTTCGGTCGCGTCGGACGCTCGGCGGTCTCCGGCTCGGTCGCGGCGGGCGCGGCTTCGCCCTTCACCCTGACGCCCCCCTTCTCCTCGTCCTCCTCCTCGTCCTCTCCGTACACCTCGTACTCGTCCCCGTCCTCCGCCCTCGCCATCCTCTCCCGCAGCGCCGCGACCGCGCGCGCCTCCAGCGGCGTCCGCAGCATATCCTCCACCTCCGCGTCGGGGATCGCCGCGATGGCCGCCGCGTCCTCGCGCTCCATCTCATCCTCCGTCTTCCCTCTCCACTCGCTGAGGGTCGAGGGTCCATCGTTCAAACCGACGTCGGGGTGGAGTTGAAAGGCGTCAGAAGTGGCGTTGAAAGGCGTCGCGGTGTGTCGGGATTGTGAGCGAGGGACCCTGGGCGGAGAGATGCGAACGCCGGGAGATAAAGTCCTTAAGGATCGGCGTTCACCGCGCCGACGCGGTCGTACGGGGACCGGCGTGAAAGATAGAACGCGCCTGACGTGCGCTGCGTTCTTCTTCTCCGCGTCGAGGCGCTCGACGACGCGACGCGCGGCGGCTCTCGCGTCGAACTCTTCGCGATCGAAACTGTCGACGAAACTGTCCGCGATCGACCGTTTCTTCTTTGTTGTCGCACGCGTCGACTTCGCCGGCGCGTACAACCCCTCCTCCTCGAGCAGCAGTCGGTCGGGCACGCCAGCGAGCATGAGCTCCCGGAGGACGACGCCGCGCCACCCGCCGCCGTCGCCGTCGCCATCGCCGTCGTCCGCCGCGGCGTCTCTCGCCGCGGCGACGATCGCGGCGGGCGGGCCGCCCGGCGGGAGGAGCGGAGGAGACCGGTCCGATCCTGCCGCCGAGGGCGCCGGCGTCGTCCACCCGTGCGGGCCGTCTTTTTTTCGGCGGCGGCCGGCGACGCGACGCAAGCCGCCGAGCGATCGTCGCGCGCGGTGGTCGTTCCCTCGCTTCTTCGGTCGCGCCGCCGCGAGGGCGAGCTCCGCGTTCGCCGCGGCGTTCTCCGCGCCGCCGGGGTCGACGACGACGACGGGTCCCGCCGCGGGGACGACCGCGAGCGCGAGCGACGACGCGTTCTCTGTCTCGTTCGCCGTCTCGTTCTCGTTCGCCGTCGTCGTCGCCGCCGTCGTCGTCGCGGTCTCCGCGCCCGCGCCCTCGACCGCCCTCGCGACGCGCTCGCGCACCCTCCGAATCGCGTCCTCCCTCCGCTGCCGCGTCTCCTCTTGCTTCTGGAAACTCGTCGGCATCGCGTCCAGCGCGGCCGCGAGCGTCTCCGCGCCGACGCCGAACCCGCCGAGCGTTGACTGTGAGAGAAACGGTGTCGTTGAAAGGCGTCAGACGGAGTTGAAAGGCGCCGAGGGCGGGTATTGAAAGCGAGGTGTTGGCGGAGAGAGACGACGGCAAAAGTCCTTAAGGATCGGCGTTCACCACGCGAACGCGATCGTATGGGGACCAGTGTGAAATAGAACGCGCCTGATTCTTTTCGTCCCCGGCGCCGGCGCCCCTCGCGTGGAACGCCGCCTTTATAGCCTGCGTCAGCGACGGCAGATACCCCCCCAGCGTCTTCGCGCAGCACGCGCTCCCCCACGAGAACACCTTCGAGAACGTCACGAGCTCGTCCGTGAACGCTCGGAGCGCCCGTCGCGTCGCGTCCGCCGACGCGCGCGCTGCACGCGCCGCCGTCGCCGGCGATATCGCGACGCCGCGGCGACTCTCCGCGGCGACGATGAGCGCCGCGGCGACGAACGCGACGGGGTTCTTCCCGCTCATGATCCCTCTCGCGTGCGCAAAGTCGAGGAGCGTCTTCGCGTCGCCGACGATCGGCGCGAGCGCGCTGGAGACGCGCGACGACGACGCGCCTCCGCCTCCGCCGCCGTCGTCGCGTCGCTCGTCGTCCGCCGCGTCGACGCCTCCTCCCTCTCTGAGCTCCGGGATCGCCGCCGCCGCGCGCGCGACGAACGCCCCTGGGTCCAGCTGCGGCACCTCGATCGCGAACATCCGCCGCATGCGATTGTACACCCTTCCGACGGCGAAGACGTCCGCCTGGCACGCCGCGGCGACGTCGCGAATCGCGATCGGCAATCGCCGCTGCCGGCACGTCGCGTACACGCACGCGGCGAGAAGCAACGTCGTCCAATCTCCCTCGCCCCACCTCCCCTCGCTCGCGCGCGTCACGAGCGCCTCCGCGTCCGCGGCGGCGTCCGCGGGGAGCTTGAGCTGCGTCGCCGCGAAGCGCGTCGCGCGCGCGATGTCGTCGAGGTGCGTCGCGTCGGCGTCGCGGAACATTCGGCGCGCGACGGACGAGGCTTGGTTACCCGCGAGCGTCGCGCGCGCGGCGCTGAGGTGGCCGCCGCGGGCGGCGGCGTCGTCGTAGAGCGCGACGCCGCCGGCGGTGGCGACGCCGCCGTCGTCGTGCCACTCGCGCGTCGCGGTGAGCGCGCGGTCGGTGAGGACGTGCCCGCACGCGGCGCAGATCTCGCATCCGAGGTCGTCCTCGTGCGTCACCTCGCGCTCGCCGCATCGCGGGCACTCGAGCGACGCGACGTCGGTCATGATGGCTTCTTCTTCTTCTTCTTCTTCAACGCGGCGGCGGCGGCGGCGGGCGCGGCGGGCGCGGCGGGTTCCTCCGCGCTGCCTGCCCCCTCCGCGCGCGCGCCTCCGCGAATGCCACGATTCTGCCCGCGGCGCCTGGTGCCGAGATGAAAACAATCGCGCGCGCGGCGCGGGAACGAACGAAGAAACCCTCGGATCTCGAGAGCGGACGCGCGCACACCCTCCCGCGCGCTCCCGCACGCCGAAGACTCCCTCTCGGCGCTCTCATCTCGCGCGACCGCGATCGAGCGAAGCGCTCGGCGGCGACGAACCTCGCCTCTCGATCGATCAGCGCGCGTCGGCGAGCGCGAACGACGACGTCGTCGATCGATCGCGGCTCGTAATTCATTCATTCACTCGGAGTCACTCGATCGAGGGGGCGACGGAGAGACGCGCGCGACCGACGATGAGCGAACACACGGACGCGTCCGCCTCCAAGGCGGCGAGGGAGGCGTCGAACAAGGAGCGATTCGAGCGCTTGAAGGAGTCGAGGCAGAAGTACAAGGACGAGGCCGCGAGCGCGAGAGCGCGCGCGGACGCGCTCGAGGCCCAGCTCGCGATGATGTCCCAGGTGCGTATTCCTCACACTGGTCCCCACACGACCCCGTTCGCGTGGTGAACGCCGATCCTTAAGGACTTTTGCCGTCATCTCTCTCCGCCCACACCTCGCTTTCAATCCCCACCCTCGACGCCTTTCAACTCCAACTAACGCCTTTCAACTCCACCCCGACATCACCATCAAAGATGCACGAGATGGGAGGAGGAGGAGGCGGAGGGAGCGACGATAAAGCCGCCGCCGCCGCCGCCGCCGAGAAAGCGCTCGAGAATTCGAAAGAGGAGACGAAGCGAGCGATCGAGGAGGGAAACAAGGTGCGGGCGGCGCTCGCCAGCGCGGCCGCCGCGACGCACCGAGCGACGCGCGAGTGCGAGACTCTGAAGAAGGAGGTGCAGAGCGTCAAGGAGGACGCGGCGAAGGAAGTGGGGAAGTACCGGTCAGGCGCGTTCTATCTCACGCCGGTCCCCACTGCATGCGACCCCGTTCGCTTGGTGAACGCCGTTCCTTGAGGACTTTCTCTCCGCCCATCACCCCTCGCTTTCGATCCCGACACGCCGCGATGCCTTTCAACTCCACCCCTGACGCCTTTCGACTCCGCCCCGACGTCGTCGCTTCGCGCGGAATAAAACGCAGTCGCGGAGAAGGCGCGGTTCGACGGCGGGAGCGGCGGCGGACGCGGCGGCGGACGCGGCGGCGGGTGGACGGACTTCGACCATTTCATGTGGGGGGTGACGCTGGGGTCCGCGTTGGCGACCGGCGTGGCGTACCTCTCGTTCGAGTACATGATGCGGAAGCGGTGACGACGACGAGAGCGACGAGCGCGGCTGATGAGATTTTTCTTAAAAGTTTTTTTCGGCGGGCGCGGCGGTCGCGAAGACGTCGAGCGCTCGCGTCGTCGTCGCGTTGTAATAAGACGCGCCGAGCGAGTCCGCGCGTCCGCGCGTCTTCGCCCGCTCTCCCGCCGCCCTCCTGACGCCGCGCGCGGCAACAAAAAAGGAGTGTATCCCGTGCCGGGATCGAACCGGCGACCCCCAGATTCGAAGTCTGGTATCATATCCTCTAGACTAACGGGACATGCCAAGGTGAACGTCGAATTTCACAATACTACACTTTCTCGGAAACGTCTGTCCCGATCAGCGAAAGATAGCACTATGAAGGTAAGATACTTTTCGCATTTTTGAAAGGGAGCGACCGATCAAGCTCGGGGTCAAGCTTTGAACCCGAGTCGCGATCGCTTGAGCGCGGGCGGAAGAGTCTGTGTCGAGATGCAGACTTCACGCGAAGCACGCGAGGACGTCGCGCGCAGTCGTCGGCGGACGCCGTCGCATGCCCGCGGGGTGGCTGCGACAGCGCGTCCTCCTCCTTCGTCCGCGTCGCGACGTCCTCTTCCCCGCGGCCGCGGCGTTCTTCGGAAGCGAAGGAGGCCTCTTCGCGGGCGCCGTCCGCGGAGGAGAACAAGCGTCGTCGACTGCTGGAACGACGACGACGACGCCGATGTCCGCGACGACGCCGCGCGACGGCGACGCGACCGCGATGCGAGCCCCCCCCGGCGCGGAAGAACCCCCGCTCCTGCCGCCGCCCTCCCGCGGCGGGTTCAAAATTCCAAAGCGGAAGCCCGCGCCGCCGCCGCCGCCGCCGCCGCCGCCGCCGCCGCCGACGACGACGACGGACGCGGACGCGTCCGCGACGACCGGCGACCGCGCGTCGCGCCGCGCGCACCGACCGCGCCACCGCAAGCACAAGCACCTCCTCGTCGTCGACCTCAACGGCCTCCTCGTCGACCGCCGGATGTCCCCGCACGTCGCGCCGGACGGCACCAAGGTGGCGCCCGACGGCAAGTTCGGCCGCTTCCTCGTGTACAACCGCGCGCACATCGACGACTTCATCGACTGGATCCACGAGCGCTTCACCGTCGGCGTGTGGTCGTCCGCGCGCGAGCACAACGCGCGCGCGCTCGTGAACCACGCGTGGGGGGCGAAGCGGCGCGACAAGCTCGCGTTCGTGTGGGGGCAGGACCGATGCACGCACGCGGGCGCGATGGACCCGCGCGATGGGCCGCGATCTAAGCCGATACTGTTGAAGGATCTACGCAAGCTGTGGGCGACGCCGTCGTACGCGCGGTTCGGGCCGTCGAACACGCTGCTGCTGGACGACTCGCCGTACAAGGCGGTCATGAACCCGCCGCACACGGCGCTGCATCCGGCGGAGTACGTCCTCGGGAGTGGCGACGACGCGGAGGAGAATCTTCTTGGCGAAGGCGCGTCCGTTCATTCTCGCGCCGGTCTTTCTCGAGGACGGACTTTTCCCGCGCGTCCGTCGTCGCCCTTCACCCCGCGCCGCCTTCCTTTCACCGCTCGCTCTTCTCTTTCACCGCGCAACCGACCGACCAACCGACCGACGAATCGAATCGAATCCATCCCACGCCCACTCGAACCCGCGGGCCCTTCGACAGACGGCGCTCTGCGGAAGTACCTCGCGCGTCTCGCCGAGTCCGACAGCGTCCCGGAGTTTGTCATGACGGATCCGTGGGCGAACCACGGCGCGGAGGCGCCGCCGAGCGACGCGGACGTGATGGAGAAGGCGAGGCGGGGCGGGGAGGCGGTCGCCGCCGCGGAGTTGGCGGCGGAGAGGGCGGGCGCTGGCGGCGATGCGAACGAGATCGAGCTGCCTCCGGACGACGACGGCGGCGGCGGCGACGGCGCGGGGGACGGAGGAGATCGAAACGAGATCGCGCTGCTGGACGAGTGGGGCGGGTCGGACGACGACGAGCGCGAGGAGAAAAAGTCGACCGATATCGCGCGCGCCGTCGCGGGCGGCGGCGAGGACGAGGACGAGGACCGGCCGGGCCCGGCCCCGGCTCCGCGGGCGAAAAAGCCCAAGCGCGTCTTCACCGGCGCGGGCGCGTCTCTGTTCATCAGGCGGTGGGCGTGGAAGAGAGAGGCGAAGTCGGACGAGGAGCGGTTCGAGCTGCCGTACGAGCACGAAGTCGCGGTCGCGGTCGCGGTCGGAGACGGGGCGGACGGAGGGGACGGGGCGACGCAAACGAAGAAACGGTCGATATCGATGCGTTTTAATCAGGCGCGGTTCGACGCCGGCGGCGCCGCCGGAGGGTTCGCGTCGTCCGTCTGGGACAGCGCGATCGTCCTCGCGAAACACGTGGAGAAACGCCCGGAGCTCTTCCGCGGGAAGCGCGTCGTCGAGCTCGGCGCCGGGTGCGGGCTCGTGAGCGCGGTGCTGCTCGCCGTCGGCGCGTCGAGGGTCGTCGCGACGGATTTGCCGGAAAACCTCGAGCTGCTGCGCGGCAACGTGCGCGCCAACGCGGCCGCGTGCGGCGCCGCGGAGGAGGAAGACGGAACGTCAACCGCCGCGGAGGTGGAAGACGGAACGTCAACCGCCGCACCAACAACGCCGACGTTCGCGGTGAAGGCGCTGAGGTGGGGCGAGGACGCCGCGAGCGCGCTGGGCGAGACGTTCGACGTCGTCGTCGCCGCGGACTGCATGTACGTCGAGGAGACCGCCGGGGAGTTGGCGGACGCGACGAGAGCGCTCGCGCCCGCGGCGGTGTTTTCGTACGGGAGGAATCGACAGGCGGAGGACGCGTTCGCGGACGCGTGCGGCGGCGGCGGCGAAGGCGAAGGCGGCGGCGGCGGCTCGCGCGCGCTCGCGATGGAGGACGTCCCCGAGGACGAGCTCGATGAGCTGTACCAGTGCTCGGACGTGCGCGTCGTGCGATTGCGAATGCGCGCGAAGAAGGCGTGAGGCGCGGTCGTTTCGTCGTTTTTCATCGCGTCGTTCTATACACTGGTCCCCATACGACCGCGTTCGCGTGGTGAACGCCGATCCTTAAGGACTCGTCATCATAGGAGCATCTCTCTATCTCGCGCTCTGCTCTGCTCTCTCGCGCTTCAGTTCATCACTTCGTGACGTCCACGTTCTTAAACTTCTTCCACGCCTCCGGCGAGATCCGCCGCGTCATCGACTTGATCTGCGTGTTCGGTCCGAGCTCGTACAGCTCGTCCTTGTTATCCTCCAGAAGGTTCTTCACCGTCGACTCCCACATCACCGGGCTCACGAGCTGCCGCGCGAGCAGCTCCGGGATCGCCGCGGCGTCGTCCACGATCTTCCCCGTGACGTTGCTGTAGATGGGCACCGTCGGCGTGTGAAACGTCACCGTCTTCAGGACGTCCACGAGCGCGTCCTTCGCGCTCTGCATCCTCGACGTGTGAAACGCGCCGCTGACGGCGACGGGGGAGCACTTCATCGCGCCCTTGGCGGTGGCGAGCGTCGTGACTTCCTCCAGGACGTTCTTGTCCCCGCTCACGACGCGGCCTTGCGGGAACAGGTAGTTGGCGACGTCGCAGACGCACTCGCCGCCGACGGCTTTCTTGGCGTCGGCGACGACGGCGTGAAGCACGTCGTCCGCGAGGCCGACGACGCTGAGGGTCGAGGGTCCATCATTCAAAGCGACGTCGGGGTGGAGTTGAAAGGCGTCAGAAGTGGAGTTGAAAGGCGGGCGTCGAGGTGTGTCGGGATTACATTGAAACCGTGGGGTGGGCGGAGAGACGCCGGTCGGGAGGGAAACAGAATATAACGCACCTGAGCATGCCGTGGTCGCCGACCTTCGCCGCGGCGGCCATGCTCTCCGCGCGCACCTTCACAACCTTCAACCCGTCCTCGAACGACAGCGCGCCGCTGAACACGAGCGCGGTGTACTCGCCGAGCGACAACCCCGCGCACGCGGCGCACTTCGCGACGACGGACGGGTCGTCCTTCTTCAGTTTTTCCACCGCGGCGAGGCCGGCGACGAATAAAGCGGGCTGCGAGTAAACCGTGTCGTCGAGCTTCTCTTTCGGGCCGTTGACGCAGACGTCGAGGAGGTCGTACCCGAGGACGCCCTTCGCGGTGTCGAACATCTTCTTCACGCTCGTGTCGTCCGCGAGGGACTTGAGCATGCCCACGGCTTGGGAGCCCTGGCCGGGGAAGAGGAACGCGATCGGCGCGGGCGCGGCGCCGGCGGCGACGGCGGCGGGCTTCGAACCGGCGGCGGCCGCCGCCGAACCCGCCGCCGCGTCTATCGACAGCGCGGCGACGGTCTCGTTGAACGCGGCCTCTTCCTTCTCCTTGTAGTCCGCGATGTACTTCGCCCTCGCTTCCGCGCGCTTCTTCTTGAACTCGCGCTTCTCCGCGATCTGCCGTTCGACTCGACGCGCCTCGGCGTACGAGGGCTGAGGGTCGAGTTGAAAGGCGTCAGTTGAAAGGCGTCAGAAGTGGAGTTGAAAGGCGTCGAGGTTGGGCGTTGAAATCGAGGGACCCTGGGCGGAGAGATGCGCCGGGAGATAAAATCCTTAAGGAACGGCGTGCATCACGCCGACGGCGTCGTACGGGGACCAGTGTGAGGAAATCGCGCCTGAAAATCTTTGGGCCACTTCCGGACCGTATCGAACCCGTAGTCGTAGCACGCCCACCAGTCGCTCAGATCCTTGTGCGGCTCCGGGCGCTTCGGGACGTGCGCGTACTTCTCGTGCAGCGCGATCAGCTTCCCTCGGATCTCCTCGTCGTCGATCGCGACCTGGATCGACGTCTTCAGTCCCGGGTTCAAGTACGGATCGTAATCGTTCGTGCGAATCGTCGGGTCCGCGCCCTCGGTGAGCAGATACTCGTACAGCTCCATGTACCCGTCGTACTGCGCGAGGTACGCCGCGCGGTGCAGCGGCGTGAAACCCCTTGGGTCCCTCTGGTTCACCGCCTCCGGGCAGTTCCGAAGCACGTGGTGCAGCATGTCGATCTGCTTGTACGTCGTGCTGAGGGTCGAGGGTCCGTACGAAGCGATATTTTCGGGGCGGAGTCGAAAGGCGTCAGAAGCGGAGTTGAAAGGCGTCGAGGTGTGTCGGGATTGAAACCGTGGTGTGCGCGGAGAGAAACGACCGCCGGGAGATGAAGTCCTCAAGAGACCGCGTTCACCGCGCGAACGAACGTGGTCGCATGGGGACCAGTGTGTAGAATAGAACGCGCCTAAAGTGCACGGGACCGCCGGCGCCGTTGTCTTGCGTCCAGTAGTACGGATCCGTCTACGTCGGGGTGGAGTTGAAAGGCGTCAGTTGGAGTTGAAAGGCATCGAGGTCGGTGATTGAAAGCGAGGGTTGGGCGGAGAGATGCGCCGGGAAAAGTCCTTAAGAAACGGCGTTCACCACGCGAACGCGGTCGTATGGGGACCAGTGTACAGAACGCACCTCCATGATGAGCGCCAGCTGCTCGGGGTCGCCGAGGCGGAAGCAGGTGTAGAAGGAGAACGGCTCGAACTTTGGCGTCGGCGGGTACCGGCCCGTGCCTGAGAGGGAGGGAGGGAGGCGCGGTGGTCAGAGAGACGGAGCGGTGGTCGGAGAGAGAGACGCGTCGTCGATCGAACGAACGACGAACAGAATAAAAACGACGGGAGACGGGGGAGCGTTCGACGAATGGACGAGGATGGACGAGGATGAACGACGCGGACGCGACGGCGTCGACGCGCGCGACGCGACGTCGCCGTCGAGGACGGACGCGCGGTCGCTCGCGAAGACGCGCGACGCGCCGCTCGAGGGATCGTGCGGGTCGACGCGCGGGTCGACGCGCGCGCGACGCACCGGTCATGTCGCGAGGCATGACGCGCGGAGAAGAGTTAAGCGGAGGGAGGCGACTGGGCGTTTGTTAGCGACGATGCGTCGAACCGACGTTCGCGGGCGTGCGCGCGCGGAAGAGCGAGAGAGTCGCGGCGGCGGGCGCGCGGTCGCGGAGACACGCTTCGAGAGCGACGTGGGACGGCCGGAGGAGGCGCGCGCGGGCGGGGGGGAATGCGCGTCGGACGCGACGTCCCCGCGTGGAAGTCGTGCGTTTTTACCGAGGCGGTGATGATGATGATCCGCGCGCCGCGGCCGGCGGCTCGCGAGGTGTCACCGACCGCGGCCGGCGCGAGGGATCGCGCCCGCGCGCCGCCGCCTCAGTTCCCACCGCGCGCGTCGACTCCGACCGCACGCGCACCGAACCCCGCGTCCACTCACCCCGCATCATGTCGGACAGCGACTCCGATCGCGAAGAGCGCGAGGACGAGACCCTCGGCAACGTAGGGTTTGCCCGTCGCGTTTTGTCTTTGTTCGCGCCCGCCCCCGCCGCGCTTCGCGTCGCGATTCGCCCCATCATCATCCGTCATCCCTCGCCATCAACCCCCGCGCGTCGCCGCGTCTCCGCGACGCGTCGCTGACGACGTCCCATCCCGCCCCGCCCTCCGCCGTCTGCGTCTCCGTACGCAGCCCGCGGTCGTGGACAAGTACAAGGTCGCCGCGGAGATCGCGAACAGTGCGTCCCCGCGCGTCCGTCCCACCCCGCGCTCGACCACCCCGCCCCGCGTCGATAGATCGCTCGCTCGCGAAGCACGAAGCACGACGCCGCCCGTCGTCCGCCCTCAGTACTCGCGACCCGTCCGCCCTCCCGAACCATCCCCGACCTCCGATCCCCATGACCAACCCCCAACAGAATCCCTCGCCGCGGTCATCGCCGCGTGCGTGCCCGGCGCGAAGGTGGTGGACGCGTGCGCGCTCGGGGACAAGTCAATCGAGGACGAGGCGGCGAAGTTTTACAACAAGAAGGGCGCCGACGGCCAGAAGATCGATAAAGGCATCGCGTTCCCGACGTGCGTCAGCGTGAACAACCAGGTCTGCCACAACTCCCCCGCGCCGGACGACGACGCGGTGATCGAGGAGGGTCAGGCGGTGAAGATCGATCTCGGCGCGCACGTGGACGGGTACGTCGCCGTCGTCGCGCACACGCACGTCGTCGGCGCGGATGACAGGGTTCCCGCGGGGGCTCAGGCGGACGTCATGGAGGCTGCGGTCGTCGCGTCCGAGGCGGCGATCCGGAAGCTCCGCCCCGGCGCGAGCACGTCCGACGTCGCCAAGGCGATCGAGACGGTCGCGAACGACTACGGCGTGAAGATCGTGGAGGGGGTTTTGACGCACTCGATGAAGCGATTCGTCATCGACGGCAACAAGGTGGTGCTGAATAAGCCGACGCCGGAGCTCAAGGCGGACGAGACGACGATCGAGCTCAACGAGGTGTACGCGCTGGACATCGTGCTCAGCACCGGCGAGGGGAAGCCGAAGATGCAGGACGAGAAGGAGACGAACGTGTACAAGCGCGCGATCGAGAAGAACTACAAGCTCAAGATGCAGGCGTCGCGCGCGGTGTTTTCGGAGATTTCCAAAAAGTTTCCCACGATGCCGTTCACGATGCGCGCGATGGGGGACGTCCGCGGCGCGAAGCTCGGCCTGTCCGAGTGCATGAAGCACGAGCTCTTGCACGAGTACCCGGTGTTGTACGAGAAGCCCGGGGACGCGGTCGCGCACGTGAAGTGCACGGTGTTGGTGATGCAAAACGGAAACGACCGCGTCACGACGTTCGCGCCGCAGGTCACGAAGAGCGAGAAGGAGCTGATGGACGAGGATCTCAAGGCGCTCATCGCGGAGCCGCTGAAGAAGAAGAAGAAGAAGGCGAAGAAGTGAGCGACGAGGAGCGGTCGGCGCGGTCGGCGCGGTCGGCGCGGTCGGCGCGGTCGCGGTCGCGGTCGCGTGACGCGCTTGAAGGTACTGTGAACGAACGGCGCGACTTTCGCCGTGCGATAGTAATAATACCCTTCGGCGCGACCCGTATGTACAGCGCTCGCGAAGTAGGCGTTGTTTATCAGCCCACGAACTCGGTCGTCATGCCGTCGTCCATCCCACCCGGCGCGCGAACGCACAACACGACCCTCCCGAGCACGGTGACGATGTTCTCGCTCTCCATCTCCATCACGTCCCGCCCCGGATACACGTCGATCACCTCCGCGTTCTTCCCGCCCGAAAGCTGCAGCCTGCTCTCTCTCGCGGCGAGGTAGTAGCTCGCCGGGTTCGGCGTCGTCGACGCCTTGTCCACCAACAGAAGCCCGGGCTCCTCGCGAGAGCTCAAGTCGCCGGCGTTTCGAAGCTCGCCGGTGTTGTCGACGAGCACCGCGAACGGCAGCGTCGCCGCCTCGAGCGCGGCCCACTTCGGGAGCGCGACCCAGTCCTTGACCCCGCCCGCCGGTGGGGTGAACACGCCGAACACGCCGACGGACTTGGTCGTCTCCACCTGCTGGTACGCCTTCACGCTGAGGGTCGAGGGTCCACACGAAGCGACGAACGTCGGGGCGGAGTTGAACGGCGTCAGAAGCGGAGTCGAACCCTGGCGTCGACGCGTGTCGGGATCGAAAGCGAGGGACCTTGGGCGGAGAGAAACGACCGCCGGGAGATGACGTCCTTAAAGAACGGCGTTCACCACGCGAACGCGGTCGTATGGAAACCAGTGTGAGGAATAAATACGCGCCTGAGCTTGTCGAGCGGCCCGAGCATGGGCACCGCGCGAAACGAGAGCTCCTCCGAGTCCAGCCGAACGACGGATATGTTCGCCCTCGCCTCCGCGTTCGCCTTCGCGAGCGACCCGCCCTCGGCCATGACCCCGTCCTCGCTCAGATCCATCGCCCACTTGGCCTGGATCGCGTCCAGTCGCTCCATCGTCGACGCGTTCTCCGCGAATCGCTTCCCTTTCGCCACGAGCTCGTTGACGACGTCGATGCCCTGGTACCGCTGCACCTCTTGGACGTCGCGCCACATCTTAAACGCGAGGCACTCCCCGGGGGACGTCCCGAACCCTTTCGCCTGCGAGTCCATCTGCGTTCGGATCTCGTACGCCTTGACGAGCTCCTTGGTCTGGTCCGGGTCGAACTCGTTGTCGACGACGAACTCCGCCGCCTCGGATCGCTTCTCCGCGGTGAGGTACTGAATGTGGCTCAAGTTCGGCGCACCCGTGTACTCGTTGTCAAAGTACGCCAGCTTCTCGTCCGGGAACCGCGGGTCGGCCGCGAGCGACCCGCGCGAGAGCGACCACGTCACCCACAGCGACTGCTCCTTCGGCTCGATCCCGACCTCGTCGAAGATGTCGTCCGGGGTCATCCCCGACCGCTTGAGGCGCTCGAACAGCGGCGCGAGCTGATACCACGACCCGCCGCGCTGCCGCAATCGCATCAGCGCCATCTCATCGCTGTCCTCCGCGAAGTCGTTCGCGCCGTCGATGTACTCGGACGGCGGGCGGAACGGCGCGAACGCCTCGCCGGCTGCCTTTTCGGATCCAGGCTTGGGCGGCGCGTCGTACCCGCCCGGGAACTTGCCCGGCTGCTGCGCGCCCCCCGGGCGGTTCACCTGGACGATCGAGGGGTCGTAGTCCGGGGACCCGGGGACGATGAGGCGGCCGCCGGTGAAGCCGCCGCTGCCGCGCGAGGGCGGGATGTCGCCGCTCGCGCGGACGACGACGACGGAGACGGAGACGGAGGATCTTCCGGCGGCGTGACGCGCGAGCCCCGTCGCTTTATTATTCGCGAATCTCGTCCTCCTCGACGCCGCCGCGACGGATCGAGGCGCGACGGCGACGCGCGAGGACGGGGACGCCGCCGCGACGGAGGACATGCCGGTGAGGGAGGGGGGCTCGAGGAGCGGTGGCGCGAGCGGAGAAGTGCGGCGGCGTGGCTTCGATGCGCGCGCGTCGCGTTGTGCCCCGCGCGGAGCGCGATTCCGACGGGCCGCGAGTTATCCGCTAAACCGCTTTTTTTGTCCCCGCCGAAAGCGCGAGATGCAACTGAAGCTGTTCACCGGCGTCGCGTTGCCGTCCGACCGCGATCGGGCGCGCCGCGCCGGAAAGCGCGTCGCCGCCGCCGGCAGAGACGCGCGCGCGCCGGCTGTCGGTCGCGACGCACCCGCACCTCTTCGCTCCGCTCGAATCGCGCCGCGCGTGATCGCGAGCGCGCACGCGAGTCGTCGTCTTCGAGCGCGCGCCTCGAGACCTCGCGGACGGCGTTTTTCGCTCTCCTCCTCCTCCGAACAACCAACGCGAGAGGAACGAATCAGATGAGCGCGGGGGGCCCCGTCTCGCTGCGCCCCGGAGGCGCGGGGGTGTCGCTTCGCCCGGGCGGCGACGCGGCGGGCGCCGCGTCGCCGTTCTCCAGCTTCGCGATGGGATCCAAGCCGCAGGTGCGCGCGCGTCGATCGACCTCCCCGTCCCCCGGCGCGCCTCAGCGCCCCCCTCGCCCTCGTTCGAACTTCGATCTCGCTCGCCGCCGCCAAACCCCATCCGTGACCATCATCTCACCGCCCCGCCCCCCCGTCCTCCTCCGCCGCGCCCCTCCTCCGCGCTCGCAGGCCCCGAGCGTGGACAACGCGAAACGCCTCAACAGCGAGGACGTCGTCAAGTACACGAAGGAGTTCATGATGCAGTTCAAGGAGGTGCGCGACGCGACGCCGCCGCGCCCGCGGGGCATCCATCGCGTGGCCGCACCGCCGCGCCCTAAGCGCGCCGAGTGACCGGTCGAGATCGTCGTCGTTTTCGAGTCGGATCGTTCGATCGATCGATAGGTCGTCGCGCGCGATCGATCGATCGATCGATGGATCGATCGCTCGATCGCTCGATCCGCCCCCCCCCCCGCGCCGATCGATCGCCGCTCGCACCCCGCGCCGAGCCGCGCCGCGACGACGTCCCCGCTGACCGCCCGCGCCCCCGCCCCCTCCCTCCGTCGACGACGAAAATAAAACGAAACGCAGCGATACACCGAGATCCCGGTCGAGCTCGCGACGTCCCCGCTCGAGGTCGTCATCAACGACGTCAACGAACGCAGCGACGACGACGACGACGACGCGACGCCGGGCGGGCAGTGGGGGAAAAAAGAAACCGACGGCGGCGATCCGTTATCGTCCAAGAGCGGTTCGTCCAAGTCGTCGTCCGACGCGAAGGACTGGCACGCCAAGCCGACGCCCGCGTCGGAAGCCGCGGACCGCAAAGCCGGGAAGCAGAGCAAGAAGCAAGGCGGCAGGGTCGACCTCACGCCGCTTCCCGAGGGCACCGAGGGCGCGACCATCGTGAAGGCGGCCAACGCGTGGTCCAGAGGCGGCGCGGATGACGACCGCGCGAGGGTGACGCGGCTGATCAAGGGAATCCTAAACAAGATCACGCCGGAGAAATTCGACCGCCTGATGGAGCAGCTCCTGGAGGCGGGCATCGACGACGCGGACATCCTCGCGGAGACGATATCCATCGTCTTCGACAAAGCGATCTGGGAGCCCGGGTTCTGCAGCATGTACGCGGACGTGTGCCTGCGTCTGTCGAAGGAGCTGCCGGAATTTCCATCCGCGGAGCCCGGCGGGAAGCCGACGACGTTCAAACGCGTCCTTCTCAACACGTGCCAGGAGGAGTTCGAGGGCGCGGGGAAGGCGAGGGAGGAGCTCGCGAACATCGCGGACGCCGCGGAGCGCAACGCGGCGACGAAGCGCGTCAAGGTGCGAACCATGGGCAACATCAAGCTCATCGGAGAGCTGTACAAGAAGCACATGATCGCGGAGAAGATCATGAACGCGTGCGTCGCGGACCTTCTGGGCCCGCCGAGCCAGACGCCGCCGGAGGAGAACGTCGAGGCGCTGTGCAACCTCCTCGTCGCCGCGGGGAAAGAGCTCGAGGCGTCGCCGAAGCTCCCGAAGCAGATGATGGACATGTATTTCGCGCGTCTCAAGGCGCTCAGCGAGTCGGAGGCGATGGACTCGCGCGTGCGCTTCCTGTGCCGCGACGTCATCGAGCTGCGCAAGGCGGAGTGGGTCCCGCGCGTGAAGAAGCTCGAGGCGATGACGCTCAACGAGATCCACGCGGAGGCGGCGGCGGCGCTCGGCATCGCCCCCGCGCAGGCGGAGGAGATCTTATTCCCGGAGGGACCCGGCGCCGTGGGCGACGGGTGGGAGGTCGTCGGCAAGGGCAAGGGATCCGGCGGGGGATCTGGATCTGGATCCGGCGGCGGGAAGTCCGCGCTGTCCGGGCCGTACGTCGCGTCGAAGCACGGCGACCGCGCGATGCCGACGGAGCGCGAGAAGGCCAAGCTGGACGCCGCCGCGAGGGCGGCGGCGGCGGCGGCGTGTAGGTTGGTC